CCCCCTGGCGGGATCAAGCATTGTGCCCATGGTGGGGGTGACTCCCATTCCCGCGCCACTCACCCCCATGCCCGCCCCGCCTTGCCCCATCCCCGCCACGTTCCCGCTGCTCGCGCTGCGAGGCACCCCTGTTCCCCCCATCCCAGCATCAAGCACCGTACCCATCGTGGGGGTAAAACCCATGCTTGCGCCACTCTGCCCCATTCCCGCCACGTTCCCGCTGCTCGCGCTTCGAGCCACCCCACCACCCGCTCCGCCCATGCCCTTCCCCCGATTCAGTAACGGCAAGTGTCCCCCTCCGCCCGCCGCCCTGCCTTCGCCCCCCATCCCCCCACGTCCCCCTCCCCCCGCTCCCCCTCCTCCTCCCCCTCCGCCTTCCCCCATCGCAGCGTACGTAGTTCGGCTTCTGGGGAGGCTTGCCACGTCAGCAAGCGGCACGCCCGCGGGAACCCTCGCGCAGCTTCCGCCAGTCGTTTTGCTCCGCCCAATAAGGCTGGGCAGAGGGCACGCCCCGCCGCCGCCCGCTTTTCCGCCCGCCCTGGGGCTCAGGGGGGGCAAATGCGCGACACTGCCTGCAAAACCCGCGCCACCTGCGCCAAACCCGCTGGTTCGGGGGCTAGTTGGCGGAAGCCCAAGCCCTCCCCCCATCATTCCGCCCCCCCAGAGAAAGGTTCCGCTGCTGTGCGAGCGGCGGTGGTTGGGCGGGGAGGAAGTGGGGGACATTTGCGCGTGCCGTGACTGTAACGAGCTGTACGGGTCTGCGTCTGACGGGGACATCGGCCGCGGCGGAAGCCCCGTGGGGCTCGGAACACGCGGAACGGCGGAGGTGGAATCGTCTTCCGCCTGCCATCGTTCCCGACTCCGCGGAATCGCGCTTCCGCTTTTCCTCCGCAAATAATACTCAGTTCTGTCCCCGCCGCCAGTAATGTCCGCCTCCGCTTCCGCCACCACCACCTCCGCATCTTCCGCCGGCGTCCCCGTCGCCCCGCGTTGTTTCGAGCCATCGTCCGCAACCGCCGCTTTTCCTTCCGTGCGCTCGTCCTCCTCTTCCCACAGGCTCGGCAGCAGCTCCTGACAGATCGACCCCCCGCGACTCGACCCTCTTTTCCGCGCCGCCGCCGCAGCGCCCGACAGGACAACCGTGTTCCGTGCGATTCGCGTTGACCCGGTCGGCGACGTCGTTGACCCCGGCGACTTCTGTTGACCGGTTTCGTCTTCCGTTGACTCTCCATTGTCGCGGTTACCATCAGAAGGGCTTGTCGGCGAGTGAGCGCTACCAGACGAAATCGTTTTGTCATCATTCGAACTGTTAGACGTAGCATGCCTAGTACCACATGTGGCCGTCGCATTACTACTACTGATGAAAGACTTGCCGCCTCGTTCTCCGTCGCGTCCGCCGTCCCTTCCGCCGTCTTTCCCGGCGACGACTCTGCTATTGGTGCTCAGCAGCTGCATTCCTCGCTCCACCATCGTCATCACGCCGCCGCCGCGCGACCCGCCGCCGCTACTACTACTACCATTATTGCTAGAACTGCCCGCGGTGTTGGCGCCGTCCGCCGCCGCGCGAGGGGAAGGTTCGTGGAAGGAGAACGCGTCCTCTGACCGGTACCGACGATGATGACGTGGCAGCGGCGATTGCGGCTTCGAAGGTCTTGAGCTCGCCGGTAATGGGGTAAGCTGCTGAACGTCGACGTTACTATTAACGGAGACCTTAGCCGCCGGTGAGGGGCCGTGATGCGCGCTATTGACGTATCTACTGGTCTCAACGGCGCCTCCTCTCGTCTCGCCCTCGTTCCCGCCGCCGTTCCCGCTGCTACCCCCACCGCGTTTCCCGCTTTGCAATTCCGATGCATTCTGACCTTCTGATCGGTCCTGGTCGAAGGCAAATGCAGACTCCGATTGGCTACGAAAGTGCGAAGCTCTCGTCGCTGCCGCTGCGAGACTCGGGTGGTAACCATGTCGTTGATCGGTCTTGACGCTAAGCGGGTCGTCGGTGACTGCTGGGCGAAGTAAGGGAAGCATCATGTCGTGCGATACAAACTTCACGCAGATACAGCCCACCCTTGATTATAAGTGAAGGTTAACTCATAAAAATCATCTTAAACCGAAGGCAGCCGGGTCAACTCACTTTAGAGGAAAATTTGAAGGGAACAGTGCGGAAAAAGGGCTCAGCGAGGCGACTCGGAGAACGAAAATTACTAAGCGTCGTTCGACGACTGTCGGTGCCAGCTGAGCCTCACAAGTCTTCTTGTCCGCACTGCGAATAAACGAAGTCCTCGATAATGCTCTAGCAGCATAGATTAGTAAGCTTGGCTTCGATAGTCCCCCTACGCTGAGAAACAAGAGGTTAGGGAGGGAATGACGGATCGCCCTGTTTTCGGGTTTCCGATTCCTTTTGGCAGTGGTTTTGACACCGCCTTGTTTTGCGCTCACGTCCGATACCTTCGGTCAGATAATTACGCTATTTTCCCTTTTGAGTCCAAATACTTGAAATATTTTTATTTATTGGGATATCCTAAATTATATCGTCGCGTCAATAACGAGCAGCTCGGGACAAAAAAACATATACCCCTCACGGACGGCATGCCATTTGGGAGGCATCAACCCTAAACACCATGAGGCAAGGTGTTTAGGGTTGATCCCTCCCAAATGGCCAGCTATCCGAGAGGTTTTTTTTTTGCCAGGTATATTTTATAGTATCCCTGGTCACAAGAAATTGGGATTGTCGAAAAAAAATACTGCCCCAAGGAATCGGACGTGAGCGGAAAAGCGAGGCGGTGTCAAAACCACTGCTGAAAGGAATCGGAAACTCGTAAACAGGGCGATTCGTCATTGTCTCGAGGTTAGGACTTACTTTTCGATTGGAACAGTCTGTGCAACTTGAGGACTCTAAAATAAGACTGAGGGTGGCGAGGATTGGCTGATGTTCGGTGCTAGCCGACCAGCGCGGTTCGAACTTGTTTTGGGCATGTGGGCCCGTTGTTATTTATTACACATTCTGCACTATGCCTTCATTCCGTCAACGCAAATGACACAGTTGAATTTTCGTTCTTGCCCACACTGTCACTGTATGGGCTGTGGTTTGGTTGTCTCCACCGATAGAAATGAACAGTGTGGCACTACCAAGCAGTGGGGTGGAGTGGGGGGATGTTGCGCCATTGTGCGTGAATAGATCTGTGTTTCAGCCCTAGCAGCGAATCAGGGCTGTCGAAGCAAGGGCATTTTCCCTGAATTCCCTGAACATTCCGGGCTACGGTTGGAGCAGCTCGAATGGCACCCGTGACAGTTAGGGCCTCATTTGGGCCTTCCCCTGAATCCAAGTTTCAAAGGAGCCCCCACCACCCAATTCCCGCTCCGCCCCCCACCCCCCGATGTTTTAGCCTACGAGCACTGCCACCCCACGCCCCCCTCAGTGTTTTTCCTACGAGCACCCCCTCCTCGATGTTTTTGCCAACGAATCCCCCCCCCCCCTTCCCGATGTTTTAACCCATGATGTTTTTGCATACGATGTAGAGGCTGTAGGTGGGTAAATAGTTGCTGGTATGCTCCTTTCTTCTGCAAATATTCTGCTAAGTAATAGGGAACATCCTCCATTGTTACATTAGGGCTAAAGTAAACTTTCCTAATAATCCCGGATTTCAAGTTTTGAATTCGCCTGCGCCCGGGAAAAGTAGGGCTAGAATTTGAGCAACTTGGGACTCGAAGGATTGGTCCCACAAACTTCGACAGCCCTGGCAGCGATGCTCAACATGCTTGATTGCTTACCACCTTCATGATGTAGCAAATTCTCTGCTGAGCAGCGCTGATTAGTCTGTAAAATTCAGGTCCAATCGCATTCCAAAACGACCCAACGAGAAGGTGAGTCGAAATGTTTATTCAGTTTGCCTTACCTGGTCATACAAACATCTCGGTGAATGTTCACAGTCACAACCACTTGGTGGACTGGGTGACTTTCCTCTGAAGATATTGAGGCTTCTCGGAGTCTCCAATCTGTCCCACTCGAGAATCCAGCAACGTCTACAGGTCCTGATTTCCCCGGCAAGTATCAGATTGTATGAATGAGAGAGGTAAGCCAAAATCACCAGCTGGCGACTAGCTGTCGCACAGCTAGGCAAATCAGGATAACGTCCAGACAACGAAAGAGTGTAACTCAACTCAAAAAACAATAACTACAGTCAAACCATGGTCTCTACAACTGGACGAAGCAAATACTAAAGGATTTTCTATTGCTATGCAGAAAGCTTCATTTTGTGCTATTTTCATTTCAATCTCTAGATTGCCACAATACTAATTCCACCAAAGTTAGTTTACCTCACTACTTGTTGCACGAGCCGGTGCGCTGCATCTGCTCGGGACAGGAAGGGGCCTTAGGAAGGCTCCAGGCAAGTGGGAGGCCAAGCCCAAGCAAGCATGGAATCGGCACTAGGCACCAATCTCGCTTGTTGTCAGTACACTCTAGGGTATACTATGCAGGGGATAATGGCATCGCCTTTAAAATAGATGTGATAATGACAAATGTAACTGAGCAAATATTGTCAAACACACCTGAATTCATCTTGACATAACACCAAATGTCTATGTACACACACATATGCACAGCGAGGCGTAAAACGGATTCCTAGATATCAGCACTGCCAAACTCGGCCCTGGAAACCCTGCTCATTGCACACCATTCCTGTATGCAACCACGCACTACTCCTCCCGCCACTCCTCCCTATGCTGCTGCTACTGCTGCTGCTGCCGCACCTCCCTCCCTCCATCCCTCTCTACTCACTGCTCCCAAGGTATCTTTCCATCACTTCACTAAACTCACCGCTCTCACCTCTCCCAGCCCCTCCCTCCCTCGCCAGGGGAGTGCTACCAGCATGCACACTGAACGAACTGTGCCCCGACCACCGTGCCTCATCATCCGCCCCTCCTCATCTGCTGCTGCCACCGCCGCTTGCCGCTGCTTCTGCGGCCGCTCCTCCCTCCTTCCATCCCTCTCCCTCCATCCCTCTCTACTCACTGCTGCCAAAATACCGTTCCATCACCTCACTGATCTCGCCACTCTCACCTCTCACAACCCCGCCCTCCCTCGCCCGGGGAGTGCTGCCAGCATGCACACTGAATGAACTGTGCCCCGACCACCGTGCCTCATCATCCGCCCCTTCCAACACCCCTCCAACCCCACCACCAGCCCCATCACCAACCCCATTACCAGCCGCAGCAAATCCTGACGCCCCACCAAGTCCCGACGCAGTGAACACATCTGAAGCCTCCAGCACGCTCCAGTCACCGTCTTCAATCATCGTCACCCCTTCCACTCCAGTGTTGCTCTCGACCAATGCGCTTTCCACACCTACCTGCAGCTGTTGTAGCTGCTGTTGCTGCTGCTGCTGGCCCTGTTGCTGCTGGTGCTGGTGGAACCGAGAGCGGGCCACAGGGAGGGTTTCCTTCAGCATGCTAGACATTTCACGCATCTTGGCCTCAAACTGCTCCTCGTCTTCAAAGGGAGAGGGCGTGGGGAGGGTGGAGCTGGTCTCAACAGCAGCAGCCGGAGCAGCAGGGATGGCATCGCTGAAGGAAGAGTCACCAGGAGGGGCGTTGACCCCAGCGGCGGTAGCAGTGGAGGCGCCGAGGTTTTGGGCACTGCACAGCTCCGAGAAGTGAGCGGCAGCACCAGCAGCGCCAGCGCCAGCGTCAGGAGCACCAGCATTAGATGTTGCAGCAGCAGCTGCTTTCAAGTCACCCACGGAAGCAGGGCTAGAGGCGTTGGTCAACCCCAATACTCCTGCAACAAGGCCACTCTGGTCTTCAACTGTGAGACCTGTGACGGGAGCAGCCTGTACCTGTACGGCAGGCATAATGGCATCAGGTGCAGATGCTGCTGCTGCTGATGATGCTTGTGAGAGATCCTCGTGCAGAGAATTATAAGATTCCTGCCTCTGGCCTGATTACACAGAAAACGAGATCGGGATGGAAAGGAAAGAGAAGAGGACACAGGGAGAGAGCAGCATGAGGAGACATAAACACACAGAATGAACTGGGGCACGTGCAGCCCACACAGAACGCACATGATTCCAAAACCGCCACCAAACCACACACAAAAACGATTAAGCCAAGTCATCCTCCGCGTTCCTAAGCAGCCAACGCGGCCCAGGCAGCCCCGGCAGCTGCCTCACGCCCCTCACTACCAACCACACACATCACAGGCCCCTCTACTCCACTCACCTGCACTATCCTCCTGTCCTCCTTCAGTCAGAAAAGAGTAACCCAGATCCTCCGCTGCCTGTCCAGGCAGCCCAGGCAGCCAGCCCACGCCCCGCACTACCTTGCTACAAACATCACAGTCCCCATCCACACCACTCACCTGCACCGTCTTCCTCTCCTCCTTCAGTAAGAAACGAATATCCCAGATCCTCCGCTGCTTGTCCAGGCAGCCCAGGCAGCCGCCCCACGCCCCTCACCAGCGCAGCCAGGTCCTCTCGAAGCACCGCCAGCTGTCCCTCCAACACGTCAGCCTCGTGGTGACGTGCCACCAGCGCATCTGCCAGCTCAGCACACGCCCGTTCCTGCCTCTCCAGCCCCGGCACCTCCCCCAGCACCCGCCCCATCTCCCTTTCCGCCCCCTCCAGTTTCCTCCTCCCTGCCTCCTCCCTCTCCCTCCTCCTCTTCTCCAACTCGCCTATCCTCTCCCTAGCTCGCTCCAGCCTACCCTCCAGCACCGCTCTTAACTCCTCCACCTGCCTCTCCACCTCCGCGAACTGGCCTTGAATCGCCTCGACCCGAGCTTTAAGCCCCTGGGAATCCTCCTGCAGCTGCGCCCTGTGCCCAAACACCTGCGCCGCGCGGATCTCCAGCACCTGCTGCGACCGAACCACGTGCTGAAGCAAGTTCTCAGCTTCGGCAACGTCAGTCTCGCCAGCGTGGGACAGAGCGGTTTCAGCTGCGGCTGCCTGCTGCTCGGCGCGCTCCACCTCCGAGAGGAGGGTCTGAACGGATGCGAGCTGGGCGTCGAGGCGGGATTTGGCGTCTCTGGTGGTGGCCACGTGGTGGGCAATTGTGGAGACTTCGACCTCCACGAAGGAACGGCTCCAGCTGTTCACTAGGCTCTCTGGCACCTCCACATGCTCGCACTCTTCCTCCTCTTCCTGTTCCTTTTGCTCCTCGTCTTTCTCCTTTTGCTCCGCTTCGCGCTCATCCTTTTCCTTCTCTGGCTTCTCTTCCTTTTCTTCCTCTCCTTCATTTGTGACTTCCTCCTGCCTGACCTCCTCCTCCTGCTCCTCCTCCTCGCCTTTGCTCCCATCCAACACCGCTACAGCCTCGTCCATCTCCTCTCTTTTCTCCTCTACAGGTTCGGACACGCGCGTCTCGGCCTGCTCGGCCTCGACCTGAATCTCTTCTCGACCCACCCCAGCACCGCCATTGCTCTCTCCGTCCGCCTGTTGGAGTTCACTCTCGGGTTCACCCTCGGATTCATTCACAACGACCGCTTTCTCCACCTCCGCTTTCTCCTCTTCCTCTTCAGTCCCATCAGTAGCACCACAAGCGCCAGCAACATCAGCCGCATCAACAGCATCCGAAAACAACTTCGCCACCGGCTTAATCGCAACGACTCCAGCCTCGCTGACGTCAGCCTCGGCACCCTCGACAGCGCCGATCGCGGGAAGGTCCTTCTCGCCGGGCTTCTTTTCATCTTCCTTAGAATTATTCACATTTAACGAGTTGGAGGAAGCTAGCGGAGCCGTAACCGGAGCTGCCGATAAGCCTGGCAGGATACTTTCGTCGCTGGAGGCCGCAGGATCGTGCAGAGCAGTGCTTGTCGCGGGGAGGACCAGCTCGGCTTCGAAGAACGACTCCTCGCTGTTAACGGATTCGTTCAATGCATCCTCGTTATTGGCGGTCTCGTTATTGGCGGACGACGATTCAGGTCCATCCGCATCTAAGTGACTTCCTGATGGTGCGAATCCGGCAGGAGCCTGCAAGGGGAATAAACAACAAAATTTACATCTCACATGAACGGGAGATCTGTAACGGGGGAGAACCGAGGGGGAGGGAATAATAACCTGCGGGGCTAGCAGACCGAAACGACATCGCATACCACATCTTTGTCGACCAGACTCGGGTCCTCGACCTCGTCCTCCTTGTCAGAAACATCTCCAGCGGAAGACGCGGATTCTTTAGGCGCCTCAAAAGTCGCTTCAAAAGTTGTCTCCTCAACCTCGTCCTCCTTGTCCGAAATTTCTCCGTCGGAGGACGAGGATTCCGAAACCGCTTCGTCCATGAGGTACTGAATGGCCTCGTCCATGCCTTCCGGCGTCGTGCCGTGCTCGCGAATCGCCGCCTTCAGAAGCCTGACGTCCACCTTCGGAAACAGCTCCCGTAAGTGAGTTAGTGCAGCCTCCATTACGGGACGTCACTGATTTCGTTGCAAGTGTCAAATCTTGCTACTTCATTTATTGTCACAAAAGCATAAGGAAACAAGAAGCGTGCTCAAATGCACTCAGAAGCACACTCCAGTGCCTCAGAGAGCTGAAGTTGCTGGAACCTGAACTTGGAAAGCGGCAAACTGAAAGGCTCCCATCTCTTCCTTCCTAGGGTTCTCTGTCTGTCAGCTCAATGCTCATTCATCCCTGTCTTCCGTTTCGGTTTGCCTTCACTCTCGGCTCGGGTGGCTGCGGCAAACCAGGAAGCACGGTTCGGCTGGACGATTATGTTTGGGATATTTGGTTTGATATGTATGATGGCTTGGTTTTTGCTGTTGTTGCAGGCTTGGAAGCACAGCCAGCTTGAGGGTGAATATCCCGTTCGTTTTTTATGTTTCCCGACGGGATTAAGGTGGGTTCGATGCGGTGAGGGGACCACTGACGTCACCAGACACAGACAAATTCAAGGCTATCCGAACCGAACCGACCGAACAAGAAATCCTGCAACCAATGGGCAGGCTTAGCTTGTATACAACCTCGAGCTAGGTATGGAAGGCGTGAGATAACGACGTGGCGACACGGGTTTTGACATGCCATGAGCAAAACCACCAATCACAGCGAAACGGATAGGGTGAAGCGAGAGGAGAACGCCCAGTGCAGGCGGTTCTTTCGACGTTGGCGAACTTGACGGCGACGTCTTATGGCGGATTGGGCCTGTGTTGCTTCCCATTCACGCCATGTGATCTGCTCTAAACGAGGTCCGATATCAAATCAGGGGTTCCAGGTACATGCCAACATGACACGACTATAAGTATCAAGGATAAAATAGCTTACATGTGTATCTCAAGGCAAGTAGCTTAGATAAATGAGCAATAAATGGCAGATTTATCTATAAAGGTTATATAATGAAAATAAAAGGCATATTTATACTAAAACTTGGTGGGTAAGGGCTATTTTCCGTTATCATATCAAGGTGCCTCTAACTTGAAGCGATCAAAACACTCGAAATACGAGGGTATAACAAATAATAAGCGACTGGTACACTTTCTTAAACAAGAAACAAATTCGGCAGAACCGAGGCATTCAGGTTCAGGGTTCCTGCCTGTTGTGCTGCCAGATGATCTAAAATACTCACTGTTCTAGAAATTGCCAGGGCGATGTGAGTGGTGCAGGATTTTATGAAAGCTGATAGTGTTTCTCTCAGCCCTTGCCAGCCGAAGCCTGCAAGTGTTTTTACTTGACAGGGGCAGTTTGAATCTCAGAGGTATCGGCATTAGATTCTGGATTCGGTTCGTTGTCCCAGAGTCAGACCCGAATGGATTCGTAATAAGGCCGCTTCGGTCCGGTGACAAGGACATGCAGAAATAACGCCGAATTCGGGGTGGTGATAGCGAACTGCGAAATCATTTAGTAACACACGAAATGGGCGAAGGAGCAGCGCGTTAGACTGTGTTGCGGGCACTTGCACGAAGCCGATTTGTCATACGTTTATACAAGGTTCGGCTTGTAGCGGGGATACGGCAATGGACGAGGCGACAGAGCTCCAGGCGGTGCTGCAGGCCCTGGCGGTCGCCGTTGATTGGCGGACGGATCAGGCGTCTCGTGCTGGGGCCACGGAATTCCTCGAAAAGGTGATCATTGCTGTTCAGTGGACGTTTTGAGATGACTCAAAGTTCTCTTGGAATTCCTGGAAACCGTGGCCTTATGTGGTCAGAAATAGACACGGACACGTTACCTGCTGAGTAATCAGATCCTGACCGTAGCCTGCTCATCCGACGGTGCTGCTCCTCTTGATACTTATGCCCGAAGATCCTGACCATAAACGGCACTCCTGGTCCTGCTGGCTGTTTCGCAGCCAATGCGTTCCTTCCTGCCTCAATAGCCCACGGTCTTTCCATCGCTTGGTCAGTCAGGCCAGAGTAGAGGGTTTGGTTAGTCCGGATCACTTGGGCCAGAAACACACGGACCCAGCTCACGTTCTCTGCCACCCCTACTGTCTCTCAACACTCTTTCCACGCACACAGCTCAAGACAGAGGAGGAGCCGCACCGTCAGGCGTCTCCTCTCCAACACACGTGTGCCCCATTCTTTCCAGCACACACATTCTCATCGCCTTCCCTGCCACCCCGTCAACCTCTTGACCTCTCCTTCCCACGCACGCAGCTCAAGACAGAGGAGGAGCCGCACCGTCAGGCGTCGCTAGCAGCTCACCTGGTGAACGGCGATCAGCCCGAGCATGCCCGCCTCTTCGCCTTCCAGCTATTGCAGGTATGCCGCCGCCTCATCACATTACCCGTTAACCATACCCTAATACCATTAAGCATTACCCCAATACCCATTAACCATGAATCATGCCCCACTACCCATTACCCTTTGGCCTATACCCAGTACTCACTACCTGTCAACCATTACCGATTACCCAATACCCGTTACTCATTACCCAATACCCGTTACTCATTACCCAATACCCGTTACTCATTACCCAATACCCGTTACTCATTACCCAATACCCGTTACTCATTACCCAATACCCGTTACTCATTACCCAATACCCGTTACTCATTACCCAATACCCGTTACTCATTACCCATTACCCGTTACTCATTACCCATTACCCGTTACTCATTACCCATTACCCGTTACTCATTACCCATTACCCTCGATTGGATACTCTCCTTTCCTTCCTCCCACCCGTCCCTTCCCCCCGTTATAAGAACGTGGCGCGCAACAAGTGGCAGCAGTTCCCTGCGGACGAGAGGCGCAAGCTAGCAGTGTACGCGTTTGACCTGCTCAGGCGCTGCGCCGACACTGCCGGGGAGCCCTGGTCCATCCGCAGCAAGGCTGCCGCTCTGCTGGCTGATGTGAGTCGTGCTTGTAATACTCGTTCTATTAGCTGCTGCTTCTGCTGGCAGTGTACGCGTTCGATCTGCTCAGGCGATGTGCCGACACTGCTGGCGAGCCCTGGTCCATCCGCAGCAAGGCTGCCGCGCTGCTGGCTGATGTGAGTCGTTCTTGTGGTGCTGCTGCTGCTGCTGCTGCTGCTGCTTTGCTTGCTTCGTCACTTTGCTTTCGTACTCCCTTACTCAACCCCTTCTTTCCTCCCCGACTCCCTCAGATTGTCAAGCATGAGGGGTCGGACCTGTGGAAGGAGATGCTGCCGTCACTTCTTGCCCTCTCTGCTGCCAGCCCTGTTCATGTGAGTCAGGCGAGGGGGGGGGGGGGGGGGGGGGGAAGAAAGGAATGGGGGGTCTGGTTGGGTGAGGGAAAGGGGGTGGGGAGGGGGTTGTTAATGATGTGAGATGAATTCTATCCCATTCTCTTCTTTCGCTGCTGCCACTTCGTTTTCTGTCACTTGCTCCGTGATGCTACCTCACTCTTCTCCCCCCTGCTTCCCACACCCCACACCCCCCATCCCACACCCCCCATCCCACACCTCCCAACCTCCCTTCCCCCACCACATGCACGCTTCACACCCTCACATCGATTCTCACTGGAAACCCCTGTTCCTACCACCGTCCCCTTGACCCCGACCCTCAGGCTGGCTGGCAGGCAGAGACGGTGGCTCTTGTGCGACTTTTGAGAATCCTCAGAAGTAACACCAACATAGCCAGTTTGTGCCAGAAACACGTGACACTCGTTCCCCCCCTTTTTCACACACACACACCCCACATCCCCACTGTGGCATGAGCAGGGGGCGAACTCGGACATGTTCGTGTTCGCCCCCTGACGAACATGGCCTTCTGCCGAACCGAACAGTGTTCGGTTCGGCGAACGACTTGAGTGAAAATAGGTGTTCGCCGTTCGCCCTAGGAGGCGAACGAATTGCTGCAACAGGCGAACACGAACATGTTCGTGGCGAACATGTTCGTGTTCGCCCAGGGGGAAATTCAATATAGAGTAAAATTCAAATCGTCGCACATTCTCTCCCCCCACCTCCCAAGCCAGCCCCGCCCTGCTTCATCCATCTAGTGCCAGCGTGCAACGGCGAAATGCTAGATCCGCACTTAAGCAGCGGCGAAATGCTAGATCCGCACTTAAGCAACGGCGAAATGCTAGATCTGCACTTAAGCAACGGCGAAATGCTCGATCCGCACTTAAGCAACGGCAAAATGCTAGATCCGCACTTAAGCAACGGTGAAATGCTCGATCCGCACTTAAGCAACGGCGAAATGCTCGATCCGCACTTAAACAACGGCGAAATGCTCGATCCGCACTTAAGCAACGGCGAAATGCTCGATCTGCACTTAAGCAATGGCAAAATGCTAGATCTGCACTGTACTAACTGCAAAAGGCCAGATCTGAGCCCAAACACCAAGGCCCGCGACCTAAAAATTGGTCGCGGGCCTATTTGTCGACGAACGCATTGGTGTTTGTCGAAGGCCCGTGTCGAACACGAACACGTTCGTGTTCGACGCGCCTCGGCGAGCTGAGCCGGGCGAACGGCGAACGTGTTCGGGCGAACACCGAACACGTTCGCCCCGAACAATTTAGGCCAAAAAAAAACCCTGTTCGGTTCGCCTCGAACACGTTCGAGGCGAACCGAACAGGAGTTCGTCATATTGCTCATCCCCACACCCCATCCCACACCCCCCACCCCTCACTTCTCCAACCACACACGCCCTGTACGCCCCCCATCATCCCCACCCCAACACCCATCTCCCCAACCACCTGGCTGGCAGGCAGAGACGGTGGCTCTTGTGTTGCAGTTTGTGCCAGAAGACGTGACAGTCCATAACGAGGATATAGAAGGTGATAGAGCATACGAGAAATTGACTGTTTACAACGAGGATAGTAACAGTGTCAATAGCAAGGATAGACAAGTGTGCAGCCATACCGTTCTTCTCTCGGTTCAGTGTGCAGAGCATGCCTCCCCCTTGTTGTCAACTCTTGTCAATTCTTTCTGTCTTGCAAAGCATGAGAAAAATAATAGATCAGGTCAGAACAGTGAACCCTAATCACCCCACCCTTTGTTGTCTCCATGCCATGCCATCCACTTCCTCCGTTCTCCTCCCACCACCACCACCAAACCTACCCCCATCCACCAGGCAATAGGAGGCGTCTGCTGTTGCTCGGACTCACAGCCACCCTGCCGCAGATGACTTCTGAAGCGCCTCAAAAGCTACCTTCCTCCCCCCCTCCTCCCCTCCCCCTCCTCCCTTCCACCAGGCAACAGGAGGCGTCAGCTGCTGCTTGGACTCACAGCCACCCTGCCGCAGATCCTCCCCTTCCTCTACTCGGTTCGTGCTTTGCCCACTCTCCCCTATAAACTTCATTTCCTTTCGTCGCTTTTTTTTTTTTTTTTTTCAGCTGTTGTCCTACTGTACATGGGTTGCATTCGTCTCTGCTCGTCCATTCATCCCTAGGCTATTCATTCTAATCTGGCAACCCCCTTGCCATTCTCTGCAGCTTCTGGACTCCAACTTTGCAGCAGCGCTGGCAGACATGCAGCAGAGCAACGTGGATGCGGCAAGGCAGCATGCAGCAGCCGTGACAGCGGGCCTGGCAGCGCTGGGGGCGTATGCCGAGTGGGCGCCTGTGCCTGCGATTGCATCCGCTGGATTACTAAATGCGTGAGTTTCAGGGTTTAAGGTTTTCGTGTATGTAGGGTGGGTGTTCGTATGACAGTGGGCCTGGCAGCACTGGGGGCGTATGCAGAGAGGGTCCCTGTGCCTTCTCTCACCTCCGCTGGCGTATTGAATGTGTGAGCTTGTGTTTCAGGGGTTGCAAGTTCTTAGGGTTTATGCATAGATAGGTGGGTGTTTGTCTGTGGTTTGGCAGCGCTGAAGCCGTTTGTGTAGTGTGGGCGCCTGTGCCTGCGCCTGCCTCTGCTGGCTTGCTGAATGCATAAGGTTTTCGGGTTTTAGGCGCTCAAGTGTTCCCCTTTTTCCCTTCCCATAACCCACATCTCCCTCCCCCTCCAGCTGCGGTTTCCTCCTTGGCTCGCCTGATTTCCGAATGGGAGCAGCAGACTTTTTCAAGCACCTAGCGGCGAGGTGGGTGGATAGGGATGAGCAAGAGGCGAACACGAACAGTGTTCGGTTCGCCGAACGACTTCCCCAAAAAAGGGTGTTCGCCGTTCGCCTGTGAAGGCGAACACCTTGTTGACGCAGGCGAACACGAACGTGTTCGTGGCAAACACGTTCGTGTTCGCCCTTGGACTACATTCACTAAAGTCACACGTTTGTGGATTGTGCATTGTTGACATTTGTTAGGTGGCTGTAAGGTCCAAATAGAGTAAAATTCAAATCGTTTCACATTCCCTCCCCCCACCCCCCAAGCCAGTCCCGCCCTGCTTCATCCATGCTAGTGCCAGCGTGTGACAGCGAAATGCTAGATCTGCACTTAAGCAACGGCGAAATGCTCGATCTGCACTTAAGCAACGGCGAAATGCTCGATCTGCACTTAAGCAACGGCGAAATTCTCGATCTGCACTTAAGCAACGGCGAAATGCTCGATCTGCACTTAAGCAACGGCAAAATGCTAGATCTGCACTTAAGCAACGGCGAAACGCTCGATCTGCACTTCACTGACGGCGTAGCGCTAGACCTGCACTTAGGTAACGGCGAAATGCCAAATCTGAGCCCAAACACCAAGGCCCGCCCGCGACCTAAAAATTGGTCGCGGGCCTATTCGTCGACGAACACATTGGTGTTTGTCGAAGGCCTGTGTCGAACACGAACACGTTCGTGTTCGACGCGCCTCGGCCAGCTGAGCCGGGCGAACGGCGAACATGTTAGGGCGAACACCGAACACGTTCGCCCCGAACAATTTAGGCCAAAAAAAAATCCTGTTCGGTTCGCCTTGTTCGTTATATTGCTCATCCCTATGGGTGGATGATGGATGTCGGAAACCCGTCCTCTGTTGCCTTCCATGGCCTGCCCTCTCCTCCCAGCACTCATCCTCCCTCCCTTCTCTCTGCCCTGTTACTGTGATACCTTCCCTTCTCTGCCTCAGCCACTACCATGAGAGTTTCCCGCTCCCACAAGATGGCTGCCCTCAGTGGCCTATCACCTAGCTGCTGCTGTAGCCTTAGATCGGTGAAGTAATTCCACTATAATAGGCAAACAAACGAGAGAACGAACTAAGCAGTGAGTTCCAGGTCTATTTCTCGTAAGTGACATTGGGCTCTTCCCGCTAAACCTCAGGATTGGCCATTCGAATTGCCCAGGGCTTGCTGTCCCTCGAATTTGTCCCTCCCTGCACCTCGCTAGTCCCTGGGTTACCAACTTCACGTAACTACCCACACACCAAACCCAACTTCACGGAATATCTCAGCGGAAACGGGTCGTCAAGCCTGACGACCTGTTGACGACTTGACGACATGCTGCCCCGGGCAGAAAAAAACTAAAACCCCATCGGATGGCATGCCATCCGAGGGAGGCATCAACCCTAAATCCATGCCTCCCTGTGTTTAAGGTTGATGCCTCCCTGACCGGATGCATGCCCGAATGGGTTTTATTTTTTTTGCCCGCGGGCAGCGAGCTCCCCCGGGCGGACTCGCTTGTCCGCTGAGATATATTCGGCGTAACTACCCACGCACCAAACCCAACTTCTACAGTACTTCTAATAACCCAACTACACCTACTCTAGAAAGTATCTGAATGTGTTGCACCTAAGAATATTTTCTGTGACACTCTCCCCCGCCCCTTTCCCCCCACTGTTGACCCCCTCCAGGCGAGCCCCTTCAGACGACCAGGAGGCATTCAACGCCGCCATGACATCAGTAGCTGATTCCCTCGTCTCTGCAGCCGACGCCTCTCTCGATCGCATCACTACCACAACAGGTTCCGCCCCTGCTTCCTCTCCAAGGGAAGCAGGAGGGCAGGCAGGGGGGATGGCAGCAGGGCGGGGAGCGAGGGGAGGAGGGGGGGCGGGGGAGGTGGATGAGGGGGAGGTGCAGTTTGCAGAGCGGCTGTGTGAGGCGATGGTGGCGTTTGCGCCGTCTAATCTGAAGAGAGCTGCTCAGCAGGATGATTCCAGATACGCCAAGTTCTTCCACACTGTGAGTTTGTTTGTTTGCTTGCTGGCTTGGTTGTGTTCTTTTCACACGATACATTCCTGCACACGGTGAGTAGTAGTACCATGTTTGACATTTAGAGTCTAGACGACACGAAAGCAGTTTGTGGGGGAAAAAAAAAACAAACAAACAAAACAAAACGTGCGAATTTAGGAATTGTGAAGTTTCTCAACTCAAGGGTTAGGATCTGTTTGCTCCCCATTTCCAGAAGCACTTTTATTCACTGATGGTCTCCGTCCTTGCCACCTGCTCACTGCGTCTCTGTGCCTATCTCTTCTCTCCTCCCACCGTCTCCTCCTCTCCTCCTGCTGCCCTCTCCCCGTCTCGTAACTGCAGATGCTTCGTTTCTTTGAGAGCAAATGCTTCTCATTGCATGCCCTGGCGCTGCAACTCTGGCTGGTAAGGCCCCCACACTTAGCGCACTTTGCAAATGCTTCGTGTGCTAAGCAAACACTCCGAGCACTTTATGCACTTAGCAAACACTTGGGCACGCGACGAATTTCATCCTGGCTCACTCACTCCTGCACTGCACGTACTCTTGAATCCTGAACGTGAATCCAGCACTCATGGCTCCCCTCCCCCTTTTCAACCCTCCCAACTCCCCAACCACTTCCCCAGGCATTGCTTAGGGTATCAGTTCTGAGGCGCCTCAAAACTAGTCTCCTTAAAACTAGATCAGCAGGGAGCACGAGCGGCGGAAATGACAAACACGGGGTTTCTGCATTGGCAGCACTCCATCCGTCCCCCTCCTTGCTTGCATTCCCCTCTTCCCACTCCAGGTGTTACTGAGGGAGTCGGCGCAGAGCATAAGTGGAGCCAAGGACAAGCGCGCAGCAGTGATTCTCGTGCCGCCCGATTTCTGCCTGAGGCTGCTGGACGTGGTGGCTGACCATCTGCCCAGACGCCCAGGCGAAGGGGAAGAAGGGGAGGAGGATGGGGAGGGGTGGCAGGAGGAGTTTATCAACAGTGGGGACTACGCCCAGTACAGAAGCCGACTGGTGAGTACACTCGGTTTATTGGCTTGCGCTGCACACTTGGTCGTTTCTGCCTGAGCTGAGGCGGTTGGTCGTGGCCGTGGTGGTGGACCACCCTCGTTGAGGTAGCAGCAGCCGCTCCTTACGCTCTCCCTCACTCCTTTCTCCCTCCCCTCCCTCCCCTCCCTCCCTCCCTCCCTCCCTCCCCTCCCTCCGCAGATGGACGTGGTGCGGCTGGTGACACAGCAGCAGCCGCTCATAGCAGCATCCAAAGTGGCCTCTGGGGATGACGGGTGGGGCATGGCATGAGTCACGAGCCACAGCAGTCCCTCCCTCCCCTTACCCCTCCCTTGTGCCCTCCCTCACTCCTTTCTCCTCTCTCTCCTCTCTCCCCCATCAGATGGACGTGATTCGTTTGGTGGCACAGCAGCAGCTGCTCATAGCAGCATCCAATGTGGCCAGTCTCTTCGGATTGGTGGTGGGGAGGGGAATGGCATCACCCATAGCAGCCCCTCCTCCCCCTTCTTCCCTCCCTCCGCACCCTCCCTCCGCACCCTCCCATCAGATGGACGTGATTCGTTTGGTGACACAGCAGCAGCCGCTCATAGCAGCATCCAAGGTGGCCTCTCGCATTGAAGCTGCTGTTGCTGCTGCCACCTCTGCTCCCCCGCCCCCCAAGGCAAGCCCTGGGGTGTGGGGCTTGGGGCATAGGGCATGGGGTGTGGGGCGTGGGACAGGGGGCGTGGGGTGTGGGGCACGGGGCATGTGAGTGATGCGTGTTGAAAGACGTGGTGATGGCAGCTATGGCCCATGCTGTCATGGCATCGACCTGGTTACCACACAAAGTGTTGCTGTATTCACACAAACAAACAACCACCACCCGTCCCCCCACCACCCTTCGCCCACCCATCAGGTTGTTGCGGTGTTGGAGGGAGCACACAAGTTAGAAGATGCTGTGATGGTTGCAGTGCCCGATGCTGTCATGGCAGATAGGGGGTCAAACGCTCTATTTCCCCCTCTTCTCCTTCCCAACCCTATCCCCCCTCCCTTCTCCACCCCAGGTGGTGGCAGTGTTGGAGGGAGCGCACATGCTGGAAGATGCCGATAGGGGTTCAAACACCCTATCTGCCCCCTTTCCTCCGTCCGTCCCCCCCCCCCCCCCCCCCCCCCCTCCCTCCGCAGGTGATGGCAGTGTTGGAGGGAGTGCTCATGCTAGAAGATGCGGTGATGACTGCTGTGCCCGATGCTGTCATGGCAGCAGCTGCTGCTCACCTTACCCACACCTTACCACGTTATCCCCACTCCCTCCCACCCAACCAGGTTGTAGCAGTGTTGGAGGGAGCACGAATGCTAGAAGATGCGGTGATGACTGCTGTGCCCGATGCTGTCATGGCAGCAGCTGCTGCTCACTCCACTAACCCTGCCATTCTCGCCGACGACCTTGGGTTGATTGTAGAGGGTGAGTGGGGCCGCTTGTAACGAGTATGAGGGATGTGAGTGAGGGGTTAGTTGGTGCTTGTGGCAGCAGCTGCTGCTCACTCCACCAACCCTGCCATTCTCACTGGCGACCTTGGGCTCATTGTAGAGGGTGAGTGGGGCGGCTTGTAACGAGTATGTGAGGTGTGAGGGGTCAGTTGGTGCTTGTGGCAGCAGCTGCTGCCATGTGGGACGGGTTGTCATGTCATATGTGCAATGACATGCACCCATGCAATGACATGCACCCATGCAATGACATGACATGCACCCATGCAATGACATGACATGCACCCATGCAATGACATGACATGCACCCATGCAGTGACATGACATGCACCCATGCAATGACATGACATGCACCCATGCAATGACATGACATGCACCCATGCAATGACATGCACCCATGCAATGACATGACATGCACCCATGCAATGACATGACATGCACCCATGCAATGACATGACATGCACCCATGCACCCATGCAATGACATGACATGCACCCATGCACCCATGCAATGACATGACATGCACCCATGAAATGACATGACATGCACCCATGCAATGACATGCACCCATGCAATGACATGACATGCACCCATGCAATGACATGACATGCACCCATGCAATGACATGACATGCACCCATGCAATGACATGCACCCATGCAATGACATGACATGCACCCATGCAATGACATGACATGCACCCATGCAATGACACGCACCCATGCAATGACATGCACCCATGCAATGACATGACATGCACCCATGCAATGACATGCACCCATGCAATGACATGACATGCACCCATGCAATGACATGCACCCATGCAATGACATGCACCCATGCAATGACATGACATGCACCCATGCAATGACATGACATGCACCCATGCAATGACATGCACCCATGCAATGACATGACACGCACCCATGCAATGACATGACATGCACCCATGCAATGACACGCACCCATGCAATGACATGACATGCACCCATGCAATGACATGCACCCGTGTCCCAACACCTTTCACTTCTCTCGCTCCCTTCCCAGGCGTGTTACAGCGCCTGCTGTGTGTGCAATGGAGCGACCCCATGCTGATAGAGCTGCACGCCCACCTGCTGGACGCGCTGGGTCCCTTCCTCAAGCACTCCCCTCCCCTCCCCTCTTCCCCTCTCTTTGATTCCACCCACAGGAGTGTTGCAGCGCCTGCTGTGTGTGCAGTGGCACGACCCCGTGTTGATAGAGCTGCACGCCCACCTGCTGGACGCGCTGGGTCCCTTCCTCAAGCACTCCCCGCCTGCTGCCGCCCTCGTCATTCCCAAGCTCTTTGAACTCCTCAGCTCCCTGCCACCCACTCCCCTGGTGGGTTCCCTGACTCCTGCTTTTCTGGGAGGTTGGCTTCTGTCGTCTGTTGTCCTCGAAATTGCTGCTCCCCTCTTCATTCCCAAGCTCTTCAAGCTCCTGGGTTCCCGGCCGCCCACTCCCGTTGTGGTTTTTTGTTTGGTTTGATTTTGCCTTTGTTTTCTGCATCCGTCAGGACGTCCCTCCTTACATGTTGTTCTCCAAAGAAAGAACAAAGGTGTTGTGGTGTGAACAAGGCACCTCACATCACACCTAAACGTTTTCATTTCCGATACGTCTTTGAAACATCTTATTCTCCTCTCTTCTCCCCTCCCCTAATCTCTTTCCCTCACCCCTCCATGGAGCCCATGCAGCTGTGCACTGCCCGGAGCGCAGAGAGGACGCTTCTGAGTCGATTCAAGAGTCAAGACTCAACAGTCATCTCTCCCTCCCCTTCGTTCTCTCCATCCTCTCTCTCCCTCACCCCTCTCCCCCCTCGGCCTGCCAGGGAGTGGAGCCCATGCTCCGGCCAGAGCGCAATGAGGACCGTCTGCCTCGCCTGCAAGTATGCACGTCCATCCTGAGAGTGGCACGCTCTGCTGACGTGGCGCTTGTACCGATGCTCAAGGTGCGTGGTGCGCCATACAGTTGCATATTGTGAGATTGTGGGTGGTCTTGTGCTTCCTCCACCTGCAACTGCAAATGTGCTGCGCCTCCATGCTCAGAGTGGCACGCTCTGCTGACGTGTCTCTCGTGCCCATGCTCAAGGTACGTTGCGTGATGCACTGCGATGGAGTGGGTGGTGCTTTCTACTGTGTGATCTGGTGGGTGAGTGGCATTGTGCTGTTTTCCCAACCGAGGGCTACTGAGCGTGATGAGCACTTGGCAGCAACAGCAGGCGGCAGTGCAACGTGTCCAGCAGAGGTAGACAAGTTTTGAGACGTCTCGCAACTCCTACCTCCCTCTCTCCCTTCCACACCCCTGCCCACCCTTCCACACCCCTGCCCACTCTTTCCTCCTCTCCAGGCGATGGTAGATCAGGTGATGAACACCCAGCAGCAGCAGCAGCAGCAGCAGCAGCAGCAGCAGCAGCAGGCAGAAGTGCAGAAGTGCAGAAGTGCAGAAGTGCAGAAGTGCAGAAGTGCAGAAGTGCAGAAGTGCAGAAGTGCAGGTGTGCCTGTCAATCTTTGAGACTTCTCATACCTTCTAATCTCCCTCTCTCCCTTTTCCACACCCCCACTCCCTCTTCTCCTCCTCCACCTCTCCAGGCGATGGTGGATCAGGTGATGGGCATTCGGCAGCAGCAGCAGGCAGCAGTGCAGCCAGTGCAGCAGACCCAGACGTCTAAGAACGTGTAGCCTCACCTTTCTCCTTCCTCGACCCCATCCTTTCCTCTCCAGGCGATGGTGGATAAGGTGATGGGCATTCGGCAGCAGCAGCAGGCAGCAGTGCAGCGTGTGCAGCAGAACCAGTCAGGCGCGGTGCTGCATGGAGAGATCATTCTGCTCGCTGAGGCGCTGTTGTTCGTGGCTGCTGCTGCAGGGTGAGTGAGGGAGTGAGGGAGGGGTGCAAGTAGGAAGCGAGTGAGGTAAGGAGTTTGGGAGTGGTGGGTGGGGGGGGGAGTGCAGTACGAGTACGAGACACTCTTGTTCGCAATATTCACTAATATACCTGGTGCATCCTCTTTTGCCACCTGAGCTTTGACACGTCTCAAGGTTCCCTTCTCCCTCATTACAATTACATCCACCCACCCCCCCTCTCCCCACCCCCCCCTCTCCCCACCCCCCCTCTCCCCCCCTCTCCCCACCCCCCCTCTCCCCAACCCCCAGCTCCCAACTGCCCCCCCTCCCCAGCAGCGCAGCGGGAGTGAAGAAGCAGCTGTGGTGGAGTGGCTGCTCGCGCCCATCCGCGCCGACTGGATTGGACTCAGACAACTCGAAATCCCCTCCCCCCCCCTCTCCCCCACACTCCTCCACACTCCCCCTCCCCCCCACACTCCCCCTCTCCCCCACACTCCCCCTCTCCCCCACACTTCCCCACACTCCCCCACACTCCCCCACACTCCCCCACACTCCCCCACACTCCCCCACTCCCCACCAGCGCAGCCCCAGTGAAGAAGCAGCAGTAGTCGAGTGGCTGCTCGCGCCCATCCGCGTCCAATGGGCGGACGCCACGTGGCAGGCGCGCTACCTCTCCTCCCCGGCAGCCCTGGCTGCATTGCTGCTCCACGCCCCCAGCTCTGGCTCCCAGGAGGAGGCGGATTTCTGGAGCGTCTACCACACCACCATGCTGCTGGAACGAATCATGCGCCGCGCTGCTGCTGGCGGAGGGGGAGGGGGAGGAGGGGGAGCAGGGGGAGGGGGGGTTGGGGGTGTGGCGGCGACGCCGCCGCCTTCCCCTGGGGTTGTGGGGGTGGCGGACGGGGTTGCGGGGGAGAGAGGGGTGAGTGGAGGGGGAGGGGGAGGGGCAGTGCACTGTGTGAGTCTGCACGTGCACTGGATTGTGCCGCCTCTGCTGAGAGTAAGTAGCAGCTTTAATCGACTTATGAGGAGTGGGTGCTTCTCAGGTGGCGAGGGCTGAAGGTGAAAAGGGGAAGGGGAAAGAGGGGGTTTGTATTGCGCTGTGTGAGTCCGCACCTGTACTGGATCGCGCCGCCTCTGCTGAGAGTGAGTGGGGGAGTTGGGGGAAGAGAAAGGGCGTGTGTGGGTGACCCTAGACCTGCATCTCAAGGGTTATCCGTCCCACCTCAGTAGGAGAAGAAAAGGGGCGCAAACAATATCTACCCGATTTTGCTGAGAGTACTTCTGAGGCGTGTCAAGAGCTGTGAGGCGCTGCAAGAGAAAGAAAGGGGTGCAGTTAACCTCCCAGTGCGTGTTTAACCCTGAAGCATTCCTACTTTCCACTCCATCCCTCCCCTCCCGCCCCCCACAGCTGCTGCACTGCCTGCACGCCCTCTGTCACCCCAGATGCTCGCCTCCCTTCCCCCCGCACTCGCCCCATCGCTGCTGGTGGGGCAGCAGGAGAAGGCAGCAGTGCTGGGGCAGGCAGGCATGTCAGGCAAGCAGGAGGGCGTGCCGCTGCTGCTGGGAGGATAGAGGGTCCACCTCCCCTGGTTTCTCACTGTTCTATCTCCCTCCTTTCCCCCCCTCCACCCCCCCCAGTTGCTGCACTGCCTGCACGCCCTCTGGTCACCCCAGGTGCTCGCCTCCCTTCCCCCCGCACTCGCCCCAGCGCTGCTGGTGGGGCAGCAGGAGAAGGCAGCAGTGCTGGGGCAGGCAGGCGTGTCAGGCAAGCAGGAGGGCGTGCCGCTGCTGCTGGGGGGGAGTGCGGGAGGAGGGGGGGCGTGGGGAGGCGCAGGGGGAGGGGGAGGAGGAGGGATGGGGGGAGGAGCAGGGGAGAGGCAGCGGGAGGCTGCTGCTTTGGGTATGAGGCGGAATTGGCTAAAGTGTGTGCGGGATAACAGGTGGGTGTGTGGATTGTTTTCCCCCTTAAATGCCGAACATGTTACAGTATCTGTTGCTTTAGGGCTTTAGGACTGACTGCTACAATTTGTGGTGCTGGTAGGTAAATTAGGACTCCCTGCCTTCTGCTTTTGAGTTAATTAGAGTATCAACTCCAGTTCTACTCTTTCCGATCTTCCTCCTCCTCCGCCCTCCTCCCAAACAGCTATGGCTTCCTTGGTATGGCAGCAGCAAACGCCCCTGCAGCCTTCTTCTCCCTTCCCGAGCCTCCCGTCCCGAACCTGCAATCCCTAGGTTCGGTTTCACCCCAGCAGCAGCAGTTCGTGCTGGAGGTTCGGGCCGCACTGGCCGATTCCGTGGCTAGCATGGAGGCTCGGCACCTGCGTCTGCTGCAGAAGCTCGTCCTTCTCCCATTGGTCAAAGCCTGTCCGCCGAGCCTCTGGCCACTGTGGCTCGGCACGCTCCTGCCACCAATCGTTCTTCACTGCGACCAATGGCTGACTGCCACGTGGCAGAGATTCCTGCAAGAAGGCTTGTGTGGGGGAGGAGGGGGAGGGGAAGCAGCAGGGGGAAAAACAACTGCTGCTGCTGCTTCTGGTGGTGGTGAGAGTGAGAAGGAGAAGAGAGGAGGGTTAAAGGATGAGCTGTTTAATGAGAAGATCCTAAGGGACCTCACAAGGGAGACCTGCGGTCTACTTGCTCTCTTCCCTGTCTTGCCTCAGTCATCCTCGTTACAAGCTGCCTCGATTCAAGCCACGGCTTCTGCGCTCATGGCTGGTGTCACTGGTGGTGGTGGCATTGCGGGTGGTGCTGCTGCTGGTGCTGCTGGTGCTGCTGGTGCTGGTGGTGATGAGAGGATGGACATGCATTCGGTGGCAACCGCAGCTAACAGCTTGTTGCAGTAGGTTTTGATTTGCGTTTCAAGATTGCCGCAGTTCACAGATTCATACCTTTTCGCTTCCACACTTGAACTCTACTTGTTGGTATGATGTGTGGCTCAGCCTTTCTTTCTTCTCCTCTAAACCCGTTCTTTTCTTTTCTGACTTTCCATTTTCCCCTTATTCCCCTTCATCCCCTTATTCTCGTCTTCTTATTATTTTTGAATTTATTCGTGAACCCCTGTATTATCTCCCTCCGTCTTCTTTCCTCGGTTTCCCCTTTTTCTGTCGAATCCTCTCCCCCACAGCTTCCTGCTACAGCACCACCCAGAGGCAGCAGCAGCGTGTATTCGAGTGGCAATGGCAGCAATGGACTGGCCCGACAGCGATGCCTCAATAACCCTCGTAACCCACCTCTACCGTTCTAACCCCCTTTCTCCACACAGCTTCCTGCTACAGCACCACCCAGAGGCAGCAGCAGCGTGTATTCGAGTGACAATGGCAGCAATGGACTGGCCCGACAGCGATGCTTCTCACAAGGCGGTCCTCTGCAACTCAGGCCTTGTGCACATGCCGGAGCTGCTCGCCGAGCCTGCCGCCCCGGCTTCCGAGCCTCCCGCGCAGCTTCGAGAAATGGTCGGCCGGACCATGTTCGCAGCTGCGGTGCAGGCGTTGACGTTGGAGTCTAATGCGGGGATTCAGGCGCATATTGTGGCATTATTGAGGGATATTTACCTCCGATTGGGTCCTTTGACCTCTGCACCTAGAGAGGTGTGCTACACTGTAGCACCTAAAATCTTCTGCTCTCATGCAGCATGTAGCACACTTCCTTCCTCGTCTCCTTGCAAGTTCACATTTCACTTTATCACTCCCTTTCTCACTCCACTCCTGACACCTACCTGCATCTTCTCATGTCCCACGTATCCACATGCCTTTCCCATCTCCCCTTCCTCTTCCCCCTTTCCCTTCCCCTTTTTCCCCTTCCCCTTCCCCCCCAGGTGCTCCTTTCTCTCTCCATTCCACCAGAGGCCCTCGCTTCCTTCGAAACTGCCCTAAAGAGTACGGGCAGTGCAAAGGAGCAACGGGCAGCCTTCAGAACTTTGCTCACAGGTGTGGCAGGCGGGCAGCTAAAAGCCTTTTCTGCCCAGAAGAATCCTACGACCATCTCAAATGTCTCAGGTGAGTACACCCTTTATTTTCCCAAAATGTTCAGCATATGCGGGTAGTACTTTATTCTTATTATGCTCCTGCCATATTTTAATGGTGCGAATCCGAATCAGTATGATTCTACTGCCCCCTTTCTTATTTACACAGCTTGTCTCTTCAACATCCAAGAAACATGGTTGATTTCCTTCTCCTCCTGGTTACTTTCCTTCTCGGCCTCACTATTGTGCTATTTTATTGAATATCATTACTGGATCACCTATAATTATCATACAAAGTGATTGCGATGTGCTCTCAAGGTTCACCTGAACAATCCCTCTGTAGCGTTCCAATGTCTTTCCACGCTGTCATCCTCATGTTACCGCCCCTCATGTTACCACCCCACATGTTACAACCCCTCATGTTACCACCCCTCATGTTACCACCCCTCATGTTACCGCCCCTCATGTTACCTCCCCACATGTTACAACCCCTCATGTTACCACCCCTCATTTCAACATTTCTTCCAACCGCACCCATCTCACAATCGCTTCAACTTTTGCTCCTCTTACCACTTCTCTTCTCTCCTCTCTTCATTTCAGGAATTATAAGAAGCACGTCAAATCCCACAGCGTCATCTATCGATCAATCTGCACCGTCCATTGGCCTAGCATCATTCGGCAACATGCCTGCCAACCAATAGCAGCTGAGCCGATACATCGAAGCCATTTTTTCATTCATCCATGACGCTTTGCTTGTAACAGCCTTGGCTAGGTTCTCCTTTTTCACAGAACCAATTTTGACGGCGAGGAAAATGTGTAGAGCGAGATTTGAATGTGCTCATGATACTAAAACAGCTTCTAGATTCGCTAGAAGCTCGTGTAACTGCTTTGTGCGTAGCTCTACAAATTGTTACAGAGCAAGTTACATCACCATTGAAGTCGCACCATCGAAAGACCTTCGATTTTCGCAAAACGCACATCGGGTATGGAAAAATGATGACTTGTCTGTGAATTGCAATCATTCCAGGCTGGTGCTCGTCAATCTCGAGGCTGAGGGATCAGGATTCAGGAAGTACTCACACTTGCTCTAGCACTTCCGTTTAGCAGCTTTTGATTCCGCTGTAGGGTCCAGGAAATTCATGGAGGCGTAATTAGTACGGCGCGCATGGGTTTCACAATTTTGTAGAAAGCTGGGTACTCTTGAGAATTCCGAAAAGGAAGGGGAGAAAAGGCGCGAGAACGCGCCGGGAATAGCATACGAAGAACCGCGTAGAAAGGTAGTAACCGCATGCTTAGGAAGGTGGTCGCGTGTCACCGCGTGTGCAGGCGGGAAACAGGTGTTTAGAATCCGCGTTCTATGCTACAATTATTCTCAATAGGCTTGTAACACTGACGAACCGCGAGATGAGCGACGCAGCGACGGTAACGGGTCAGCGTGCAGACCGAGAAGCCAGGCAGCCGAATTCAGATGACGCGTGGCAGAAGCTTATTCGCCAGCTGGAGGACTGTTTCGCGGATGAGGTGAGCGGAGAATGGCTGACGTCATCCGCCTTGTCGCCTTTCCCCAAAGCTGTGACGGCTCTCGCACCTCCACAGCCTTACACATCTTTCCCTCTCCCCTCTTCCTAACCTCCAGAAAGCTCCCTGGATCGTCCCTCTGCGGCCGCACTTCACGGCTGCTGCTGCTGCTGCTGCTGCTGCTGCTGCTGCTGCTGCTGGTTATTGTGGGGATCCTCTTTTTGTCACGTGCTTTCGCGTCTTTCCACCTCCCTGCTCTCTCTCGCCCTTTTCCTGCCTCCCTTCCTCCAGTAAGCTCCCTGGATCGTCCCTCTGCGTCGTCCCCACTTCACAGCTGCTGCTCGTCAGGCTTGCACATGTTTTCATCTCCCCGCCTCGCCCTCTCCCTGCCTCCCTTCCTCCAGAAAGCCCCCCGGAACGTCCCTCTGCGGCCGCACTTCACGGCTGCTGCACGTCGAGGGGACCCCTTCCTCTCCCTCCCTGCTGCCGTCCTCACAGCCTTCACCAACAAGGTATCTCCACTCCACTCCACTCCACTCCACTCCACTCCACTCCACTCCACTCCACTCCACTCCACCCATTCATCCACCCCAGTCAACTAAAGGCCTTTTGAATGGTATTTTCCACAAGCCATTGTCATTCACAGGCCTGTTTTATACTCGGCAGCATCCCAAAACCTAGTGTAGGCCAGACCGAACCAAGCATTGTGAACAGTTGTGCATGCCTTTTTCCCCGTTTCCCCGAACGTCCATCTCGCACCCATCCTCCTCCCGCCTCCCTTCCAAACTCTGGCCCTCTACCTCAGGTCGCCGCTGCCTGTTCGACCATCTCCCCTGCATGTGACAGCAACCCTGCAGCGGCATTTGAGTCAGCCCAACTCCCCTCCCTTACTCCCCTGGCTCCCTCTCTCCCACCCTTTCCCCCTTTCCTGCCGCACCTTCTCTATCTCAGGTCACTGCTGCATGTGCATCCATCGATCCTACGTGTGACAGGAACCCCGCAGCGGCTGCAGCACTAGTGGTTGCAGCGATTCCTCGATCGCAGACACTGGAGCTCGCAGCTTCTGCTACAACTGCTGCAACGCCTCTACCAGCTGCTGCTACAACTGTTGCAACGCCTCTACCAGCTGCTGCTACAACTGTTGCTGCTACAGCCTTATCTTTACAGGGGCATGGGATGGGGGTGGGAGAAACGAGGGGGGTGGGAGAAGTGAGGGGGGTGGGAGAAACGAGGGGGGTGGGAGAAGGGAGGGGGGTGGGAGAAACGAGGGGGGTGGGAGAAACGAGGGGGGTGGGGGAAACGAGGGGGGTGGGAGAAACGAGGGGGATGGGGGAAACGCGGGGGGTGGGGGAAGGGTGTGAGGGAAAGTCACGCGAGGGATTTCCTTGGTCGGGTTTCTGGGTGAGACGGCGGGAGGCAGCTTCTGAGAAGGTTCTTCAGGAGCTGCTGGTAGCAATGCCTGCTGTAAAGAAAGCCCCAGAGGGAGAGGGGGCGCGAGGGGTGGGAGCGAGGGATGAAAGAAGTGCGGATACGGCAGGTGAAAAGGGAAAGGAAGGTTTGGCTGAGGATTCTGCAGGCAAGGAGGAGGTTAAAGAGGAGCCAGGGAAATGGGCAGCTTTGAAACGCAAGGATGGGGAGGAGGGACCTAAGACAGCAGGTTCGGCTGCAATTGGAATGGAAGAAGGAACGAGAAGAATGGGAGGGAAGGAACAAGCGGAACGAGAGGGTTCGAAGGAGCATGAGGGTGGGGAAAGGCGTGTATCCATAGTAATCATTCCATCCCCCTCATCCGCCTTCTTGGATGCATGCGAGGACCGACAGAACCAACATCAGCAGCAGCGATGCAACCACGAGTTGCCGCGGACGCTGAGTGTGACTGTAAGGAGGGACGAGTACTTTCTGGATCGAATAGCAGAGGTGCTTGTAACGAGCTGGTCTGCGGGTGAGAGCAGCAGTGGTAGGGAGGAGAAGGACGGCAGCAGCGGTGGTAGTGGCAGCAGAGAGGGCGAGCGGAGGGAGACGAGCAGGGATAAGGGACAGGTGGTTGCTGGTGCAGATGCCGGATCACTTGTCATCTCCAAGTGAGTGAGACCATCCGATTCAAAGTGTTTTTGAGAATTCTCAAAAACACCCTGCAAAGAGTGGAGGGAGACGAGCAGGGATAAGAGACAGGTGGTTGCTGGTGGTGCCGATGCCGGATCACTTGTCATCTCCAAGTGAGTGAGACCATCCGATTCAAAGTCACACCTTTGAGAATTCTAAAAGGTGACTCAAATCGAACATAGTCCGCCGGTGCGGACTCTGGGTCACTTGTCATTTCCAAGTGAGTGCGACCATCCATTCGTATCCTACCTATCTGTCTATCTCCATCCATCCATCCATCAAGTCATCCGTTTCTTGCCCATTTGTTTTCTTCTTCCCCTGCCATCCTTCCCCTCCCACCCCTCCCACGCCCTCCCCACAGGCTACTTTACAAGCATCATCCCCACATGCGTCTTTTCTCCCTCCTCCCAGCCTCCGTCTCGCTCCCTCACAACATCGCACCGCCACCAACACAACCATTAGAATCAGCAACCTCAGGAGAAGAGGCTTCAGCAAAAGAGGCTTCAGCAAGAGAAGCTTCAGCACTAGCACCAAATGCCACTACCACGGCTGACTGCCAGCTGGCGGTGAACAGCATGGCGAGCTGGCTTGCGGGGTGTGAGGTGAGGGGCCCTGCAGTGGTGGCGGTGGTGGAGGCATCATGGAGTGACAGCCGGAGAGGGGAGATGGAGGAGGAGGGAGTGTTGGCATGGGACGTGTACAGGTGGGTGTATGCATGGGTGCTGTTACATGCTCCGCTCCTCGCCTCACTGCCTCTCTCCTTCTCCTCCACCGCCCTCTGGCGCGGCAGGCTCCCCAAGTTCAGACGCCCTGGCCCATCTCTTGCTCATACTCACTGTTTATCTGTGCTCGTTCCTCTCCTCACCCTCTCCTCACCACTCTCCATCCCTCTACACCCCTCCCCACCTCCTGCCACCTCTCTCAAACCCCCTATCTCCCCCTCTCAGGCGTCTGCTCGCCTGTCATCCCAGGGGCATGTATCAGCTCAGCCCGGACGTGCCCCTCCTTGTCTCCTGTCCTCTCTGCCTCACTCTCTCACACACACACCGCCCATGTGCCTCTCTTCCTTTTAACACCCCCCCTCTCCTTCCCCTCCAGGCGCCTGCTCGCCCGGCAACCCAGGGGCATGTATCAGCTCAGCCTAGAAGCCCCTGTCCTCGCCTCCTTACCTCTCTCCTTCTCCTCCAAGCCCCTCTGGCGCGGCAAGCACCCCAAGCCTATGCTTCTGGAACTCTGCACCATGCAGCGCGCCATCGACTCCTCGCCGATGTGCATGGGCATGTGCGGCTTCAAGACTGAGCATCAGCAGCAGCAGGAGCAGGAGCAGCAGCAAGGGAAGGATGGGCGGCAGGATCAGGAGCAGAAGGAAGAGGACCGGGAGAAGGCACATGAGGATCAGGAGGGGCAACGTGGGCAGTGCTGCTGCGAGCACAAGCCGATGCAGCTGGCGGTTGGGGATCCTGTGTTTGAATTCCTATCCCCTTCAGGCTCCGTCATACCTACAACCACAGCCACAACCACAGGCACAGGCATAGGCACAGGCCAAGGCTCTGGTGGTGCGAGTGGTGGCACCAGCGGCAGCAATACCACTAACGGCAACAGCACAGCTGTCAACATTGGTGGGTTCAAATGCCGGGTGACCATCAACAGAGGCCCTTCCTCTCCTCCCTTGGTTGCTCTCTCCCCCCGCCGCTATGCTGCACGCATAGATGCAGTGCATGCTGCGTGCTTGGAGGCTTTGAGGGCGATTCAGAGGGAGTATGAGGAGGGTTGGGGGAGAGTTGTGGATCCCTGGGGGGCATGGGGGGGAGAGCGGGAAGGGGAGCAAGGCGAGAAAGGGGAGGTTAGGGAACGAATGGAAATCTGTACAGGAGATGGAAATGGAGCGGATGGAGAGGAGAGGGAGGAGAAGGAAAGGGAGGAAGAGAATAGGGAGGAGGAAGAGGAGGGAGATGGCACAATGGCAAGGAAGCGATTGAAGGAAGTTGATGATTCTTCCACAACACGACCAGCCACCAGTGCAGCAGCAGCAGTGCTAGGGTCTTCTTCTCCAGGGCCCTCATCCCCCTCCCCCACACCTGCTGCTCTGGGCTGCCTTGTGTCCATCGCGTATACGGTATCTCTGCAAAAGGACGAGCGTCAGCGTGTTGAGACGCAACAAGAGGGCGGAAAATTGACTCGCGACCCGTCAGAGGAGGTCTGCTTGGAGAGCAGGGAGCGTTTCGAGTTTGAGTTTGGCCGGGGCTGTGTGGACGAGCGGATAGAGACTGTGATTGGCCGCTTGCTGCCCGGTCAAACTGCTGACGTCAGCGTTCCGATCCGCGGGCATCTGCCGCCCTTCCCTGCTTTGGAGAAGATTCGGCTGGCAGCAGGTGAGTTCGGGGGAGGGAGGGAAGGGTGGGAAGGGTGGGAAGGGTGGGAAGGGTGGGAAGGGTGGGAAGGGAGGGAAGGGTGGGAAGGGTGGGAAGGGTGGGAAGGGTGGGAAGGGTGGGAAGGGTGGGAAGGGTGGGAAGGGTGAACATGTGAGGCAACAGCAAGGGTGTGCCTTGCCTGGTAAGGTCTCGCCGATCGCTGGTCATGAGGAAGAGCCACAGTACAAAGAGCCGCTCTAGTGACGATAGTCGTTATTCTAGGGATCGCATCAACACAGCCATCTTCTCCCGCCCCCCTCATGAACCCACCGGCTTTCGGCAGGGTTTAGGGTTTACCACCCCCATTCCCCCTTCCCAACAACCCCCCCCTTCCTCCCAATCCCAGACCCCTCAAACTTCCACTGGCGAGTCACGCTCCTTGCAGTCACAGCAGCAGAGTAGGAGGATCGCATTGATGCAGCCATCTTTACCCCCTCCCTATCTTTCCCCTCTTGCAATGCACCCCCCCCCCCCCCCCCCCCCCCCCTTCTTCTTCTCTCCTCCCAATCCCAGGCCTCTCAAACCTCCACTGCCGCATCACGCTCCTCTCAGTGGCAGCAGCGGAGGAGGAGGATCGCATTGATGCAGCCATCTTTTCCCCTTCCCTATCTTTCCCCCTTCCCTATCTTTTCCCCTCATGCCACACCGGTTCCCTCTCTCCTCCCAGTTCCAGGCCGCTTGACACTGCACTGGCGCATCACCCTGCTATCAGTGGCAGCAGCAGAGGAGGAGGATCGCATTGATGCAGCCATCTTTTCCCCTTCCTCTCTTTTCCCCTCATGCAACCCCGGTTCCTTCTCTCCTCCCAATCCCAGGCCGCTTGGTTCTCCACTGGCGAGTCACGCTGCTATCAGTGGCAGCAGCGGAGGAGGAGGATCGCATCAATGCAGCCATCTTCTCCCCCTCCCTCTCCAATCAGCGCCTTGCCTTCGCTGCCGCTCTAATCTCAAAGCATGCCCCAGCGTTCCTGGTAAGACCACCACTGTTGAGACATCTCATCAGTACAGCCGATTTTCCCCCCCGCTCTTTCTTCCACCTTTTCTCCAAGCAACGCCTCTCTTTTGCCCCTGCACTCATCTCAAAGCGCGCGCCAACATTCCTGGCGAGTCCAATCGCCTTGTGAGGTTCCAATCTCCTATTAAGAATTCTCAAACGTGTATGGCCAGGTATTGCCGCTAGGTGTGATGCACTGTTTTCCACCTTCTCTGTCTCTGTGCGTTGTCCACTCAGAACAAACAGCAGCTTGCGCCATTTACCTACACAAGAAAATCGCTGCATGCCTTTCCCATGACCATGTTCTTTATCTACCTCCCTCCGTGCATCTGCTCTTTTGCCCAACCAATGCCCAGCTGGACGTTGGGTGCGGGTCCGCCTCTCTCTTCGACTACCTGCTGTCTGCTTCAGCCGCAACAAGCAAGGGCGGAAGCAAGGGCGGCACTGCTGGCTGTGACAACGGTAGTGGAAGCAACGTTGATTCACTCTGTTTGCCGGCGAGCATGGTGGGGTTTGACATCAGTCAGAAGGAGCTGGAACGGGCTGGACGGGTGAGTGGATGGGGCAAGGGATGGGGATGAGAGAGGGGGGAGGAGGTGGAAGGAAAGCAGTGAAGGCGGTGGAAAGGGCGAGCATGGTGGGGTTCGATATCAGCCAGAAGGAGCTGGAACGGGCTGGACGGGTGAGTCGATGGGTCAGGGAAAGGGGGTGGAGAGGTGCACATGCTCTTACCATGGAAGGCACTTTATGCCTCCTCATCCCAACCCTCCCCCATCAACCCCCCATCAACCCCCATCAACCCCCCATCAACCCCCCATCAACCCTCCACCTCCCCTCACTCCCTACGTCCCCCTCTTTCCCATGCCTCCCTGTCGCCCCCTTGACTGGTATCAGAGCCTAACTCGCACCATCACCAGCTTGCAAGCAGCCACACAGCCTCCAGCAGAAGCAACCGGCAGCAGCACTCCTCAAGCTGAAGGAGCAGCTTTGGCACGGTTGGGGCTCTATGCCGGTTCCCTTGCTGACGTGGACGATCGCATGAAGTGTGCTGACGTGGCAACCTGCTTAGAGGTATGCCATGGAGTGAACGCGCGTATCACATGAGTAGCTTCGATTTTTTTCTTGGCGTTTCATACATGTACCCATTGTGGCCCTTCAGCTCGAGTGTACTGTAGCACATGCACAGGTGTACTGTAGCACATGCACAGGCACACTGAATCTGGGATAAGCAGGAATCTGTTGTTACTATAGACAGGGTACTTGCCCTCATTTGCGTGCTCTCCCAATGTGTGCATGTGTCATCTCTACCCCATCAGGTGGTGGAGCATCAGGACGAGGAGCTATTACCAGCCTTTGAAGGATCTGGAGGTCTCAAAACATGTGTGCCTGTCTGTATGTGCTGTGCACACGTATTATCCCTTCCCCATCAGGTGGTGGAGCATCTAGACGAGGAGCCATAAGCAGCCTTTGGGGCTGTGGTACTGGGAGCACTCAGACCCCGTGTTCTGCTTGTCTCCACGCCTAACATCGAGTATAATCCTACCATTTCTACCCTTCCCCATCAGGTGGTGGAGCATCTGGACGAGGAGCCACTGGCAGCCTTTGGAGCCGTGGTGCTGGGGGCTCTCAGGCCCCGCGTTCTGCTTGTCTCCACGCCTAACATCGAGTACAACCCTGCCATCCGTGCTGCCACTGCTGCTGCTGTTGATTCTCCTGCTGCTGATGCAACCGCTACTGTTGCTGATGCTCCTGCCGCTGTTGCTGATGCTCCTTCGGCTGCTGCTGCTTCTGTGACTGATGCTGCTGTTGCTGCTACTGCTGGTGCTCCTGCAACATCGGCTGCTGATGCTGCTGCTGCTGCCGCTGTTGCAAGTGCTGCCGCTGCTGTTGCAGGTGCTGCTGCTGCCAGTGATGCTGTCACTGCTCTTGCTAACGGTGACAAGCAGCAAGAGCCACCGCCACAGCAGCCACAAGAAGCAGCAGGGCAGGTAGGAGGGGGGAAGAAGAGGAGGAAAAAGAAGGGTCAGCAGGCAGGCCAGCAGGCGGGTCAGACAGGGCAGCAGCCTCAGGAGCAGCAGCAGCAGCAGCAGCAGCAGGAGTTGCGAAATTCCGATCACCGATTCGAGTGGACCAGGAAGGAGTTTGAATCCTGGGCGAATGCTCTGGCCCAAGAGTATGGTTACCATGTTACATTTGGTGGAGTTGGCGTGTTGCCTGAAGCAGAGCACCTGGGGTTTGCCACACAAACAGCTGTATTTGAGAGAGCTGCATGTGACATAAAGGATTTAGGGCTGGACGAGGTGGAGAGGATGGAAATTGATTCTGCCAAGCTGATACAGGATTCTGAGGGTGAGAAGAAGATGTATGAATTGGTGTGGGACCATCAAGTAGCTTTCTAGCAAAATGTTACGAGTGCAATTGAGTGAGCGAGCGAGAATTGCACTATCGAAGCAAACATTACAATGAGCGAAGGCATGCGTGAAGAATATATAGCAAACTAGAGTGGTAGCGGTAACGCGAGGAATTGGGGTGCGCTATGGGCCTAGCGCCGAGGTTGGGATATGTCGAGGCGGAGGTCCGGTGTGCGGGTTACCAACCGAACCGTGAGGTTGGGTCGTGTCGTGAACAGTGGCGGGAGTCGTAGTCGAGGCGAGTGTCGCGAGCGGGTAAAGTTTCACTGTTTGGGTGCCGATGGCGGGAATGGTCTTGTACGCGGTAAGCAGGGGCGCGAAATAAGGAAAAGGAAATTTCCTTACAATAACCCCCTCCCAAAGGAGGCCCTCCTTACGAGAGAGCGTGTACATCTCGAAAATTTCGACTGCGCGGATACTCTGTGAGGACAAGGTGATTCTCAATTCTATCCAGGGGGACCCAGTTGTCTTCGATGGGCGTGTGGTCTTTCCAACGGATCAGGAATTCGATCATGCGGGCTCCCCGTGGGTCACGTACTTGGTGGCTCAGTATCTTTTCGGGCGTGATGATTGGTTCTGTCGGCGGTCGTGTCATGCTGACGGGGCGGTTGCGAGGCAGTTGGCTGCTGGATGGCACGTATGGGCGAAGCAGGCTGACTTACCAGTCTGCAGGGAGGAGGAGGTGGGCGGTGACGGGTGTGATCATGTGGCTGATGCAAAATGGCCCACAATATCGAGGGCGGAGTTTCAGGGTGATGGGCAGGCGGAGATTTTGAGTATCGAGTAGCACGAGATCGTCGGGCTGGTAAGTGACGGGTCGGCGGTGGCGGTCGGCGTTACGCTTAGCGATTATATTTTTTTATTGCGTCTGCTGCTCGGGTCCGTGCTGCTTGTAAAATTTATGCGAACTGTTGAGCGCATGGCACCGGGTTGTCGGGATTCGGAGTCATGGGTACTGCTGGGTCTTGTCCGTAGTTCAGGTAAAACGGTGACTGTTGGGTCGTGGCGGATGGCGAGTTGTTGTACGCGAACTCGATGAGTGGCAGTTGCTGTTCCCAGGTGGTCAGGTCGTCGCACGTGGCTCGGATGAGTTGCTCCATGGACTGGCTTGCCCGTTCTGTCTGTCCGTCGGTCTCGGGGTGGTATGAAGAACAGAACTGTAGTCGAGTGCCGAACTGCTACCACAGGTTCCGCCAGAAGTTGCTGGTGAACTTCGTATCGCGGTCGCTGATGATCGACGCTGGTATCCCGTATAGTCGAACGACGGTGAAGATGAAGAGGTGGGTTGTTTCTTCGGCTGTGATTGATTTTTTGCAGGCTGCGAAATGTGTCATTTTCGTCAGCCGATCGACGACGACCAGGATCGCGTTGTTCCCACTTGCTCCCGCCGGTAACCCCGTGACGAAGTCCATCGTCACCTGCTGCCAAGCACGCTCTGGGGGTGGTTTCGGCTGCAACTGCCCTGCCGGTCGTTTCCGTGATGACTTCATGAGTTGGCAGGTGGGACACGATGCCACGTGTCGTTACACGTCGGTCAGCATTTCGGGCCAGTAATAATACCGCTGCAGCTGTTGCCGTATTTTCTCTACTCCGAAATGTCATGGGGTAACCCCGTCGTGTGCCTCTTGTAGTAATAGCTCCTTTAGTCAAGTGTAGACTGGTACCCAAATGCGGTTGGTGCCGGCTTTTACGTAATAAACCCCCTTTGCTGCTGCGAACTGCTGCGAATTTCCACCTGTGAAGAACGGGTCGGTTTGATAGCCGTGGGTAAATAGTCCTGTTAGTAGCGGGCTGGTCTGGGCGAGTAGTATGGCGTGGATTTGGGCAGTGGGACGGGTCAGTGCTGAGAAGAAAGAATGGGATGATGAACTAAGAAAGTGTGGGATACAAATATGAAACCTGTACCCCTTAGTGTCTACCCCACTACAGCCTACATAGGCTAGGTCATATATATCTGACACACCCCCATAGGCAAAGTGGGGGAGAACCAGGGGTCACAAGACCAGTCAAGCAAAGCAAAGTAAAGCAAGCTCAGGGTGGATCACAACGTCACCACACATTCCGAGCACAGGTTCAAAGGCCACAAGGCCAGTTCACATGCAGGATTATATATAAAAGGTAAACAAGCAGGTGCAGGTATATATAGATAACAGTACAAGTAAAGTCAAGAGGTAAGCAAGTGAGGCCAAGTAGGCACAAGACCTAGCATAGTACAGAAACGCTGATGATCACAAGGCTGAAGTGCCTTGGTGAAGATATCAGCAGTGTTGGCCTGAGAGGCCACGTAAGCAAGGCGCAGCTGACCACGCTGCTGCAACTCACGAGCAAGGAAGTAGCGAAGAGCAATGTGCTTCGTTCTGTGCTCCAGTCTGTGCTCCCGACACAAGGCCAGCATGGCCTTGTTGTCTACGCACAGAACTGGAGGAGAACGAGGCTGCTCTCCCAGGTCAGTCAGCAGGTAGGTAAGCCAGCGTAACTCCTGTGCAGCCATGGCCCCTGCATAGATCTCAGCTTCACAGCTGGAGCTGAGAACAGAAGACGAACGGGTAGACCGCCACGAAACAGAGCTAGAACCAAGGCTGAAGGTGTAACCCTGTGACGACCGCTGCGTAGCCAGGTCGTCAACCCAAGACGCGTCTGCGTGACCAGTAAGGACCACTGGACTCCGCCCTCCAAGCACGAGCCCCATGCCCGACGTACTGCACAAGTAGCGCAACACCCTCTTCGCTGCAGCCATGTGCTCTGGTCGGTGTCTCCCAGGAGCAACATAGCGTGCCAGGATGCTAAGAGGGTATGCCAGGTCAGGTCGAGTGCAGGTCATCAGGTACATGAGGCAGCCAACAAGCTCTGGGTACGGGCCACTCGGCTCTACGGACTCATCCGAAGGCAGAGCTGAGAGCGAGTGGCGAGTAGACAGAGGAGTGGCCTGAGGCGAGGAGTACGTGAAGTCGAAGCGCTGAAGGACCTGCTGCACCATGTGTGACTGAGTCAGGGTAATGGTGCGCCGTGCTCTGTCCCGGGTGATCTGCAAGCCAAGATAGCTGCGCAGTTCACCCAGGTCTGTGCACGTGTGTCTGTTCTGTAGCTCGGACTTCACGTGGGCGAGTCCAGCAGTGTCAGCAGTAGCAAAGACCAAGTCGTCGACGTACACGAGGATGTAGAACGGCGGCAGCAAAGTGTCGGTACGCAGAAACAGCGACGGGTCAGCAGTAGAAGGAGCAAACCCAAGAGTCGCAAGTGTAGTCCTCAGTGTGTCGTGCCACTCACGGGGCGCCTGGCGGAGACCGTAGACTGGCCGCCGGAGGCTCCACTGGGTACCAGAAGGAAACGACCCAGTGAAGCCAGGTGGGCGGCGCAGCCAGATCTCCTCGTGCAGGCTGCCCTGTAGGAAAGCAGTGCTGAAGTCAAGGGAGTGAAGCTCGTAGTCACGGTGAGCAGCGACGTGCAGCAGTACCCGAAGAGTGGTCATCTTCGGGGTCGGGGAGAAGGTATGAAAGTAGTCAACTCCCTGCCGCTGACTGAAGCCTCGAGCCACGTAACGCGCCTTGAAGACAGGCGGAGAACCCGGCGGCCGCTGAAAATCCACATGCCACTGACGATGTTCGCCCCAGGTGGGGGAACCTCATCGACGTAGGTGCCTGTGGACTTCCAGGAAGCCATCTCTGCGTCCATGGCTGACTGCCACTGAGAGGAGTAGGGACCCTCTATCGCCTCTGCGTAAGAGCGCGGGGTCGGGATGTCTGGTGCATCCGGGTCTCCCTCAGGGGCAAGCAGCATGGATACGAGATGAGGTAAAGCAGCAGCAAAACACTGGAACTCCTCCTGCCTGTCCTCAAGGACGTCCGTGCTAAGAGCACACTCACCCCCGACGGACGGAGGACAGACAGACTCAGACTCAGCAACAAGACTAGTGGCGTAGTCTAGACGACAATGAGCAGCGAAGTCGACAAGCTCAGCAACTAAGGCAGACGCAGCAGTGGACTCAAAGGAAGGGTCAGTGACAACAGTAGCCAGGAGACGCGTGACAGTAGGACTGGCAGCACGAAGGAAGTCAGACTCCGGGTTAGCAAGAGCAGGAAGAGAAGACTCTGGAGGAGACGGCAAAGGGACACGCTGCGGAGCAGTGGAAGGACGCAGTGCCATCTGGTGCGTGCCCGGGACCGCAGGAGGACGCTGACGTGGAACACGACAACCAGTGCGAGCAGTACGAACAGGTGACGCAGGACGCGACTCAGGCTCACGACGCTCAGCAAGACCTCTAGTAGGACCAGCGTAGGGAGAAGGAGCAGGCAGTGGGGAGGCCAGCTGTAACTGTGACTCGGACTGGACAAGCGGTGGACACTCTAAGGAAGGAGCAGGACCAGAAGAAGGCGGAAGACCAAGAACCTGCTCAAGGAGCGGAACGAAGTACGGCCGCGGCCGCGCAGCGCCTCCAGAACCAGCAGGGACAGTACCAGCACCCCCAGTGTCAGCTCCAACTCCAGTAGCACCACCAGCACCAGCAGCACCTCCAGCAGCTCCAGTAGCGACAACTCCAGCACCCACAGGAGCACCGGCTCCAGCAGCACCTCCAGCTCCAGT